CTTAGTGGCCAAATGCGAGTTCACGAATGCCGGAGGTAGCATCAAAGATAGAATTGCTCTGCGCATGGTAGAAGAAGCTGAGCGAACCGGTCGTCTCAGGCTTGGTGATACGATAATTGAGCCCACTTCTGGAAATACTGGCATTGGCTTGGCTCTTGTTTCCGCACTTAAAGGATACAAATGCATTATTGTTCTTCCTGAAAAAATGAGCACGGAGAAAGTAAGTTTAGTCTTTTTTAAATTACTACAATCCTTTCCTGAATTGTTCGAAAAAGGTCATTTAGCCACGTTTAGATTCCATGTGCATTTATCATGGCATCATTAGAAATTGTCAAGCTTAACCGACCATTAGATATTGATTTGCCTACCACGCACTGAATAGAACCTTCAAAATGTCGAGCTATTTATTGATAAGTTTAATGCTTTTAGTAACCTATTGTTTAATTCTCTGTATTCCACCGCAGGATCCCTTCCGTCCTTAGGTATTAACTTAAATAATCTAGAATTAATTTCTGATCAAGTTGTTTTGTCGGCAAGCTTGGAAAGAGTGAGTGCAAGTATTATGTATTTATGCCGTCATTATCTCTAAGGTAATAGTTTGCTTGCAACTCAAACTTAATCCCTTTTTCGTATACCAACACTTGGTAATGTTAATTTTGTTGCATCTTTTTCATAATAAAGGTGAATTTACTTCATGCACTAGGAGCTAAGACGGTTCGCACTAGAACTTCGGCACGTTTTGATGATCCAGATTCTCATCTTCTCGTAGCTCATCGTCTTCAGCAAGAAATCGGCCCTTCAGCTCACATTTTTGATCAATATACGAATAAGGATAACCCCTTAGCTCATTATGATCATACAGCGGATGAGATTCTGCAGGCCTGTGCTCCGTTCGGAAAAATCGACATGCTTGTTTGCGGAGCAGGCACGGGTGGAACGCTAAGTGGCTTGAGCAGAAAGTTTAAAGAAAAAATGCCCTTATGTAAGGTAAGAAAGCTTTTCTTCTTCAACCCCTTTTAATTTAGAATTTGAGCGATCTACTCCCATTTTTGATATGTTGGTTTGTTTAATCTCAAAATTTTATCATACTAAAGAGTAATAAACAAAGTATCATTCTAGAAGTGGGTTGACC